AAGTTGCAGCCTATAGTTTAGAAATTACATTTTACGCTTTTACAACATTGAAAGTGCGTTTACATAAACACCTGTGTCTATGCCTGTAGACCTAAGTAACTTTAACTGGAGAAGTGTCTTTTTAAAATTGTAAAGCGTAATATTTCTCACGATGCTCGTTGTATCTGAAGAACAAGGGGGGGATGTAAATGTAAAGAGACATTGCTTTCTATATAGGTGACATCTGTTTGGTATAGTGTGTTATTACTGGCAGCCTATTCTGCCAACAGGAGGTTGTTGAAAATTACTGTGATCTGTTCAGAGCTTGAGCGACGTTAACTGTTACCATTTGCTGTATTCGCTAAACATTCGTCACAGTCCAACCAACGCCAGACCGACTATTTGTAAGCCCACCAACTCAGTGGTATTTTTCTTGCCATTACGGGTCGCTGTTACTCCTCACTCACCGGCAACCCTACACCAATACCCCTTACTTAAACCCTCGCTCTTAACAAATACTCCCATGCCAGCGCGCAATTCCGCGTGCAACCAACTTTTCAACCGGGTAATTCACAAGAAGGCATCGAACAGTTTTACCAACACTATACGGCAACAGCCGGCTACAAATCAATTCTTAAAAGCCCCACTTTTCTAATGAGCATTTATTAGGGTGACAGAGTTCGCTTATTAGGAACTAGCTCCTTTTAAATGTCTCCATGCATCGATGGAGAAATAGGAAACTGGGAAATCAAAAGGGCGTTTGAAGGGTTGTTTCAGGAGTACTTTAGAATTTAGAAATTAATAGTGCATGTTGTGCCTCTTGAAAAGTTGTCACTCAGGATTCGTTTTGTTATTTATGCAAAGGACAAAGAAAATTACATTTTGTTTAAATTAAAACAGGACCCAGAACCAATTGATGCAGCAAAATGACCACCCTGAAAGTTATGAAATTAGAAAATTCCAAATATGGAATATAGTTTAGAAACCTTAGGATAACATTTATATCCAGTGGCTTGTTTAGCCAGGATTACTAGACTGGACTGTGTTTCCATACCTGCACACCAGCGAGCCTACTTGGATCACTGGTAAATAATTACAAATTATAAAATGGCAGGTATTTATATTTATAATGGAAACTGCATTGAAGTACAGATTGCAAACTATGCATGTATCACTAAGACCCTCTATTTCTGACTGTATATATCATCCATCTCCAATCTGGCCTCTGCTGTAGAACCTTCAATCATGCCATCATTACCTTGAGTGTTGATTATTCATTCCAATACACATTGCTGGCTTGTTTCCCATTTTCTAATCTCTGTAAACTTGAGGTCATCCAAAAACTTCTGCCTTCAGTTTCTACAAAGGATAATGTAAATGTTGATTTATTAAAGAGAGAGAAAAGACAAATTGATGGAGTGACATAAACAATCATGTAGCATCCACCACTAACATTTTGAATTAGAAAATTATAAATAAAAATATAAATACAGTTTAAAATCCCTGGGGTAGGATTTATATATTGCACCAAGTCCTGTTCACCCATCAGTGTTGTACTTGCTGATTTATGTTGACACCCTTTTGAAGAATGCCTTGCTTAAAAAAAAAATCCTTGTATTTAAATCCCTTCACAGTGTATATCTCCTATTTGTGGCAGTCATCTCCTCCAGCCTTAGAAAAATAATATATCTGCTTCTTCAATTCTGTCTTCTTCAACATCCCGGATTTTTATTGTTCTACAATTGACAGCTGTGCCTTCAGCTCCTTCATTTGTAAGCTCTGGAAATCCCATCCTTTACCTCTCCACCTCCCTGTCTCGCTTTCCACCTTAAGACGTACTTTGACCAAGGTTTTGGACATCTGACCTAATATCTTGTGATGTGGCTTGGAGTCAAATTTTGATTGATAACCCTCCTGTTCATCACTCAGTGACATTTTATTGTATTAAAAATATTATCTAAGTACAGGCTGTTGTTGTTATTTCAGAATGTTAATATAAAATTATACTCAATTTGTTTTTCCGTGTGATGTCAGTTCCTTAAAATATGATATGTTTTATGCAGCTAGCAATTCTGGAACAAATTGAAAATTATGTTGCATGGTTACGTTACTGTTGGAGTAGTTAGATTAGAACTCACGAAGTAGGAGCAGGATTAGACCATTCAAACCTGCTCTACCATTTAGTAAGATCACAGTTAATCTGAATATAGCCTCAATTCCACTTTCCCGTCTGTCTCCCATAATATATGAGTGATCTGTAGATCAAAAATCTGTCTAAATTAGCTTTGAATATATGCAGGTACAACTTTTTAAATATTAATTTGGAGAATTGCATTTACAACACCACCGACGATGCATTATGTAAGTTAGCGTAAGCGAGCCTCAAGGGTCCACAGGGTTAATGCCTGAACAGTGTTGCATCAGTTGATCTTGGCCAAAGAGATCTTCAGACATCATAATTTCCCACAACATCTCTGGACTAGAGCAGTGAAAATCAATTCTGGGTTTTTCTTCATTGCTATCAGTTTTAGAATCTACATGTATAGAGGATAGGATTGGAACTGCTTATGGTATTTCCCATAGTGCGCTTATTAAGGCCTCGTCACTATAGCTTACAAAATGTCTTTAACATAGATAATCATCCACACTTCAGGAGGAGAATTTCTATTGAGCGAAAGAAAGAGGTATCAGATCAGGTAACCAAAGATTGACTAAAAAAAAATGAATAAAGAGGCAGAAATTGACTTGTGAGAAGTAGGATCAAGAGACAAGTCAAAGGTTGGACTTTTTCATATAGTCTCATGAGCAATGTCATACTGCATTGCCAATGCTTAAACTCTCAAATTGTTTGACAATATGCAACTCATTTACGCCTGCTCCTATTTTCATGTTTTCTTGGGTCTGCCAATGTAATAATCAACAACCAAAATCTAATCCCTTTGTTCCAGCAATAGCCATCTCTGGCTCATGACCCTTTCCGTGCATCTTGTTCTCACAGACACTAGTCCAGATCCTCAATTTCTCTTGCCTCTTCCCCATTAAACTTAATTAATGAATTAACAGTAACACAGAGGATGAATCCAGAGATGTTTGGATGAATCCAGAGAGGTTTGGATGATAATGAAATTGTAACCACCGGGAGTCTCAAGAAATGATTACCTTTCACTGAGGAACTATTGGATACAAATCTTGGGTTTCCAGCAGTTTCAAGAATCCTGCTTGCAGAATATGAAACGTATCCAAGCAGTGGAGACAATATCCCATAATGTGTTGTAGATAGTGGATCATTTGGAAGTAATCCATAACTTATAATCTACAACATGTTGGTGGATATGTACATAGTTGCATAGTCAATCTGGGCTGTGTGGTAGCACTAGCATAATCAAAGTTCTCTCCAGCAAAAGAGCCATAGATCTCTCTAGATTCTGGGATATTAGCAGTGACTACTTTTCTGGAGACCTTGGATATTGGAGTTGGGAGAGCTGCAAGACTGATCTCGTTGGCACCATGTAATCTGCTCAGTTGTTGATCGGTCATCTCGCAGTTGTGCCAATATTTGTTGATGCTGGTTTTCTGAAGGCTGTAGGATATGTACACTGCTTCATCTCCTTGGATGCCTGAGAAGGTTCACGAGTCCTGAATCCTAGGATTAGGCTTTGTCTTGTCAGAAAATGTTGAGCAGGTTGGACTTAAACTCAAGGACGAGAGGTAATTTCATTTAAGCATGTAAGACTCTGATGGAATGTGACCTGGTAGATGCTTTGAAAATGTAGGTTATCTACAACTAGGAGGTGCAATGTAAAATAAGAGATGAGAAGAAATTTCTTCTCTGAGGGTCATTTGGAATTCTCTTTCCTAAAGAGCAATGGTGTCTGAGCCATTGAATATATCCAGTGCTGAGTTAAACATTTTATTGATTGACAAGGGAGCCAAGTGTCATTGGGTCTGAAGAGGTAGGAAAGTGGATTTATGGCCAGAGTCAGATATCAGCCATTGCCTTAATGACTGGCAGAGCAAGCTTGATGGGCCAAATAGCCTATTCTTGCTCCTATTTCTTAAGGTCTTATTGTTGCCAGAAGATTGTAAAAAAAAGTCTTTTAAATCAGTGGAAGGGCTCAGGGAGAAACATTAGAGTTTGGGAGCACAAGAGGCTGGAGGCAGGGAAATAGAGAGGTAAGAGGGGCTTGGGATTGGGAGCAGAGAAGCCATGGAGTAAGGTAAACACAATGAAAATTATTTTAAATACGAAATATTAAAGAAACCAGATGCCAGTGGAGGTCAGCAAGAGCAGGAGAGATTGATAAGAGATTTGTTTTGGAAAGGAGAATGGACAGTTCAGTTTTGAATGAGCTGAACCATGTGGTAGGTAGAAGATGGAAAACCAGGAAGCAAGCCAGAAAAGCTTTGGAGCAACTGGAGATGAAGTTGGGATCCACCAGTAGACCCTTAGTCCTTCACAGCAAATTGTCAGCCCATTTTTCCATCAGGAGAACAGGAAAGGGTTGAGCTGTGAATTGTTTACCAATTTGTGATAAACCTATTTTCCATTACTTGTTATAGACCAACTTCAGCACCCTTAAGTGCAAATGAAATAAAGGCACGAATGAGGCTTTAAGCAGCAGATGGGGTAAGGCTGGCTGGATGTTACAAAGATGATGAAAAGAATATGGGACCAGAAGCAACACGGGTTCAAAGAGAAGGTTGTGTTGTGAATACACTCTAGTTTAGCCTAAAACCTTGGGTGTGATGAGAATGAAGAGTGGAATTATTGGAAGGGAGGTGGACTTTATCACAGGACCAAAAGAATGGATTAAAAAAAAAATTGCTTCAGTCTGTGTTTAGCTGGAGGAGGTCTTGACTCAACCAAGACTAGCTGTCAGGGAATTAATCTGACAGCATATGGGCATGGAACATTTGAAACAGGTGACGCATAGAGGGACTGTATCGAATACATGAAAGCCATCCTTATGGGGGTTAATGTCACCGACTGATGACATGTAGACAAGAAAGAGGAGGCAACAATGGATCCTTGGATTACTGCAAATAGTGATTACACAAGGATGGAAGTAAAACCATTGCGAGGAATGCTGTGCTTTGATCGTACAATTAATGACAGCAAGCAACGGAGATCTGTTGGAACCTCAGGTGATACACTGGAAGACGAGGTGTAGTCAAGTGTCAAAAGGCACAGTGAAGTATAAGAGGAGAGGTGGGAATATGCAATAAGGTCACAGAGAATATCATTGACGTGGGACGTGTGGAAGCTTGGTTGCTGCTTATGAAATAGTTTGAACCAACATCTCCAAGGGGGAGGGAAGATGAACAAAAAGATTTCAAATATTTGTAAAAATAATAACCCATTCGTTATAAATTCCATCTCCAAAGAAGAAATCAAACTTTGTTGAAATTTAGAGACAAAAATAGAAATTGCTAGAAAAACACAACAGGTCTTGTAGCAACTATGGAGAGAAAGCAGAGTTAATGTTTCAGAACACCCTTCTGAAGAAGGGTCACTGGACTTGAAATGTTAACTCTGCTTTCTCTCCACAGATACTGCCAGATCTGCTGAGATTTTACAGCAATTTCCGTTTTTGTTTTTGATTTCCAGCATGCAGAGTTCTTTTGTTCTTTTGTTGAAATTTAACTCTATAAAGGGATGAAAAACAAAAGAAATCAGATTGACTCCCTACTAAAACTACACCTGTTACATACCCAGTCCAACTTTCTTTTACACTATAAGTAATGAACTAATCTGCTGCAACATTTTTTGTACCTCCAACAGAACGAAGTTTAGCCCTTTTAATTTCAAAATGGAGGTATATGTATCCTTTCATCAATTTATTTCTTCAGTGCAGAAATATTCCTTTGTGAACCATGTATATGGTAATGAATATTTACACTATGCAAGCCAGATCTTTACTGGGCATCCCAAGATTAGGATCAGACGTTGCGGTATTTTACCATTGACAGTAATGCAGCACTTAATGTTAATTACTGCAGGGCCGCATTATCCATATACAGGTTAACCTAATTGTAATAAATCAGTGCCATTGACTAAAACACAAATTAAACCAATTACTAAAGTTGCATCTGACAAAAGAATCCAAAACAGCATATTTAAGAAATTTCAATTCTATGTATTAGTCTCAGTTGGATGTTTAAGTAGGCACTAGGCACTGAATACTTGAGCACATTTTGTGATATCAAGAAGACTCATGTGAATTGGATGAATGTTTTGGAACTAAAGAACAGCAGAAGAATATGGAGCAAGAAAGATTCAGTTTCATTTCCAAATCATTTATAAGGGATTAACCAACTTTTATTCTTAGAAAGCAACTTGCCTCCATTGGCCTTGACCCAGCAGAGATACACATATCTGATTGCTAACTTAAACTGAATCCCAACCTGGAATTATGTTTCATATAGCTATGAATTCACAGTATATTTGAAGATAATTGAAATTATTGATTCTGATGCCATGGGCACCTTTTAGGCATCTGGAAGAATTGCTCAATTCACAAAAGTTCAACTGTATCAGTGTGGCTTCGGAGGTAATGATCATGAAGTCATATAAGACAGGACAACAGCGACACTGTTGTCACATTAAGAGATGACTGAATGTGGAGCTGGAGGAACACAGCAGGCCAAACAGCATCAGAGGAGCAGGAAAGTTGACATTTCGGGTCGGGACCTTCTTGCTACCAATGTTATCACATTCTTGTGTTTCTAAGAAAAGCATGGGTGCAATTTTCCTGATACTGGTGTCACCAGATTATAAGATTTTTGAATTTTCTGGGCAAAGTTTGTTAATTTTAACTCAAGTTCCATGGTCCCTTGTGCTTAGTTTTAAAATCATCTCACTGCCCACAATACTGGCCAGAGGGCATTTATTTCTTCAATGACTTGTCCCTCAAGGAGGCTCCAAAAACTGTAAGCTGTAGCATGTGACTTGAAAGGCTTTCAATGACCAAAGGGAAATAGTTTTGTTACTTCTTAGAAGCTGTTTCGACAGGGGTCACAGTGGCATAATGGTTAGCTCAGTTGTCTCACAGTGCCAGGGACCCAGGTTTGATTCCAGCCTTGGCTGACTGTGTAGAGTTTGCAGATTCTCCCTGTGTCTGCATGGGTTTCTGCTGGGTGATCCGGTTTCCATTGATAGGTCAAAAATGTGCAGGTTAGGTGGATTGACCAGGTAAATAAGAGATTATAGGGTGGGGAGGGTGTGGGACGCTCTTCGAAGTGTCAGTGCAGACTTGATGAGCTGAGTAGCCTCTATCTGCACTAAGATAACACGGTGTAGAGCTGGATGAACACAGCAGGCCCTTCTTCAGAAATGATCGGTCGAGACCCTTCTTCAGAAATGATCGGTTTCTGAAGAAGGGTCTCGACCTGAAACGTCAGCTTTCCTGCTCCTCTGATGCTGCTTGGCCTGCTGTGTTCATCCAGCTCTACACCGTGTTATCTCAGATTCTCCAGCATCGGCAGTTCCTACTATCTCTATCTGCACTGTAGGGATTCTATGCTTCTAACATTGGTTTGTTCACTGGTGTTGGATTGACAATGCTTTCTTTTTACAACTGATCGATTTTCATCCTTATGAATCAAATTTTAATAAGTTACCATTCTTGAACATTTT